GTGACAAACTGCTACGGTGCAGCAGACATGCAATTAGCATCAGTCCCAGGACAAGACCTCATGTTGCTTACTCACACAGCGCTACAATTATATCAGAATAATTTCAGAATAAGAAGCAAAAGAACTAAACTAACTGAAATTAAACACTAAAAAGTGCAGTTAACTTGGCGTTTTTCTCTGCTTAATCACCACGGGGTGGCCGCTTCCCCTTCCTCACTCTTTAATGCAGCCCCAAAACAAACACAGAAAATAAAAACGACCCGCACCAAAACACAGCCCAGCCCCAGCCCATCAGCAGCGCTCGCGTACCGGGATCACCAATTCGACGGGGAAAAACAAAAGCGGGCCTGCCCACGCCTTAACAGGCCGAAACAAAGGACAAAAGTGACCCAGCACGAATCTACAAGGTGCTACAGATCGGACGGCTAGCCAGTCGACTGAGACTTCGCGAAGCGACTGATTTTTAGCAGCGTCGTACAATTATAACCTGATGGATTTGCTGCCTAGCGTGCAGTTGCTTTCCGATGCATATATACTTGGCACGTAGCCGTTAATGTCTTCAGTCGTGTGTACGTATACTAGTGAGACATAGATAGCGCCAGCGAGGGTGATAGATAGATAGATCCCTCTGATGGCCGTTTGCTATCCGATTCGCAGCTTATCATGTGCTGTACCCCTGCATGGACGTACGTGCAGGTACGTCGTGTACCACGACGCCTAACTTATGTTCTTTTCTCAAGTAAGTACAACCCATGAACACCACACTTGCATAAGCACAAAACATGAACAGCTCCATGTCTCAATTTTTAGCAAGACCTTTTCGGCGGGAGAGGAAGTGAGAGTAGCAATCCAACTATGTATGTATGCACGAGTCATCTTAGTTATCTAGAATAGTTTGTCTACTTTAACTATGTTGATGTCCCGCAAAAATAAAAACTGTATGGATGAAAGTTATGCTATTTTATACCCCATCCCTTCCTAGCTATAATTCTTGTTAGATATTCTAATATGAACTAAATACGAAGCGAAATGAGTGAATCTACACTCTAAACTACATCTATATACATTTGTATGTAGTTCATATTGAAATCTTTAAAAACAGAGGGAGTACTTGTTCTTACATATTTATGGTATAGTGCAAGTTATTAATAACGTGTGCAAATCTTGAACTCAACAACAGTTATTAATGCCAGAGAACAAAACGCAACATATCTGTCGAGCACAATATTTTGATCATTGAACTGAGAGGCAACAACATGTCTTGAAAACAGAAAAACAGCTTAGAAATATATACCAAAAAAGACATGAACCATGAGAGAAAAAGTAGGTGCGATCACACTCGTGCATAACTTTCTAGCAGTTATGAATCCAAGTGTGTGTATTCTCGCATGCCAGTTAACTATGAATTTGCACAAAATTTGTGAACTAATATATCCTTTACGTACCTCTGAGGCACCCAGCCGATAGTCTTGGGGAAGCAGAGACGTGAGCTTGGAGCATAGATCTTCCACCTCGATCCTCCCACTCGCCTTCCTCCGCGCATCGTTCATGCCGAACACCATGTTCGTCCCCTCTCCGTCTCCTCCCTTCCTCTTCATACTCGTGAAGCAAAGTAGACTTTCCTTCTTGAAAGACCCAGACTTCTCTTCTTATAGGCCCATCAATTTGGCGTATGCACATGCATGAAACATGACAGTGGGGCTACCGACCACTTGTGCAACTGGCCAAGCCGCTAAGGTTGCATGGATTATGTGATTTGGTGCTTGTGGCCACTTGTGCAAGTAAATTTACGAGGATAGGGACGTAGAATGCTTGTCATGCATCCAAGTTTTACTTTTCAGGCCCCTCTGTAACTACGTTCGCCATTTTTGTTGTTGAAGGAAATATTTTTTTTCGGCTGAATAAGTTAGAAATATAATTATTCTACGGTGAAATGAAGGCCGCGGCTTGAAGTATCCGCGGCTTCGGTGTTTTGCGGTATTGCTTGCCTCCTCCCCTATACACGTGACTGTGCCGCTATCTCGGTCCTTTCTACTCGCCGGCAGGGTGTGGTGCTTCTCAGTAAGGAGCGAACCTTCTCGGCGACAGTTCGGTGGGGGTGTTGCCCCAAATTTTGATGGTTTCATCCAGGAGACGTGAGTTCGTTCTTTGTTTGTTGCCTTGGTCGCTTTTAGTTGTGGTTCTATCACTCTTGTGCTTTTGCTCGGTGGCACGCTAGCGACGTCCAGCAATGCATTGTCGGCAGTTTTCTGCTTGTGCAGTCTGCTTTCTTTTATCACTTGTGTAAGAAGGCCACATATCTCATCACCTTGTATTGTTTGACCATTTGGCTTTTGTTACAAAGTGGCACCAAAGCCTATTATGTGAAATTCTCTTCACCCGCAAAAAAAAAAGTGAAATTCTCTTACCCCTTTTATCAGTACAGCAGACGAGTGCCCGTGAATGGTATGGTAAGGGCTAAGAAAAGTGTGACATTGGTGCTGCCTCCACCGATGGTTGTAGTAGATACTAGTGATGGGCAAGGAGCGCCCATATCATCGACATAACTTACAAAAACCACGACAATACACTAATGGAGAACAGGTTAGCAATGCAAAAGCCCCATCAGTGACGGACATGGCTGTGAAGGGCTCCTGCCACTGCTAACCCGCAACCTGTAATACGTGAGTAGTGGTGGGCGTTCTATGCAACCCACCACTTCTGCAAATACCAGTGGCGGGCCCTTCCTTCCACCCGCCACATTAGGGCAGGTACAATAGAGCCTAGTCAGTTGGCTGCATGCTGTTCCTCGTAAGAAAAATCCTAGCTGGAGTGAAGAGAAGGGAGGAGAGAGAAGGAAGCCGGCACTTTGTCTATCACCAGGCTACAACGCAAAATTCAAAGAACAACCGTCTGCTTGCAGCTCGATGTGAGCGCTAGAGCCGGCGCTCCCGATCTGGTGCGCCTCCCTGCTTCTTCCTCCCCCCACACACCAAATCTTCCACTGCCTCGCCCCCAAATCACTTCCCGCGCGCCAAAAAGATTGAAGCTTTAAAGCCTCCAAATCACCCGTAAATCAGCACCTCACCAACCCTAGAACCGCCGCCGGCATCAAATCAAGCAGATGGGTCAGCGCTCCAAAAGAACGCGTGCATCATTAGTAATTATTAAAATAGGGGAATATGATTGTTGGTTGGAGGAGCAATAGAGCTAAATACCATGTAAATCTTCCTCTGTACCACAACTAGGACACTTGTGTGAGCAAATCAGCCCAGTTGACAATTGTAGCCAATCCAGCTGAGGAAGTAATTAAAGTTTGCTTTGTTACACTAGCAGAACAACTTATATGATTCTTTTATAGTTTTATATAAGCTTCAGAGTAAAAGGAAATATTACATGTACTTCCAGCTAAGAACCATATGAGCAACCATATGTGTATGACCTGAAGTGAGATTCTGTGAAGTGTACATAAGGAATAAGCTGAGCATGCTACGAGCCTACGACTGACTCGATAATGAATCATAATGCCACTACTTACTGTCATGAGCATGCCATCATCATCTCATCATCACTGCATCCATGTTGAAATATTTACCATCTCCTTTTTCCATATAGTGGCTAGAGATTGTTGATGCAGATGGATTAGCCACTCGTTTCTATTGAAGTTCCAACTTATCATCATCAAGATCAAAACTAATGGCTTGTTTGCCAGAGATCTTATCTAATATTATGCTTGGTTATTGTCTTCTTATAAAGACCGGTGTAATGTCTAAATGTCGATGTCATAGTGCTATGTGCCATCAGCTTGTTGATTATCGTCATCAAGATCAAAACTAATATCTTGTTTGTTGGGCGTCTTATTTAGTCTTATGTTTGGTTAATGCTTCATTAGAAAGACTCATGTAATCACTGGCGGAGCTATGTGAGGGCAAAACCAGGCCATGGCCCGCCCAGCTCCGGAGGGAAATAAGAATTTTGTACATGTAACCAATCCAGTAGCAGACCAAACCAAAGTAGCAGTGCATGTCTCCTTCGCATGCATCCATCCAACACCGTCGACTCCCCTAGCACACTTACTAATGCCTACTTAATTGTATGGTTTAGAGTCAATAATTTTTTTGGCCCGCCCATCTTATTTGTTGTAGCTCCGCCACTGCATGTAATGTTTAAGTGTGGTGTCATGGTGCTATGCGCATCTGTTTGTTGCTTGCTTATTAATCAGTTGGTTGAATATTAATTAGTTCCCCGCAAAAAAAGAGAATATTAATCAGTTTCGTGAATGGCATACATATGCTGATTGAAATGGCCACACAGATGTAGCTTACACGGGATCACCATAGGTGATATGCACATACAAGTATTAAACGTCTAAGTATTTATTAGAGTCAGTCTTTCATCCAATGTAAAAGCCAACCTACTATGTGGGCGAAGGCTTTATGTGACCTAGC